AAGGAAGCTCTTGCCTCTTCTTGAAGTCTCTAGAATTGGGTGTATTACACCCCTCATGAACCTTCTAGAGTGCTCCCTCCTTCTCTTCAAGAAACGTCTAGGAGTTGCTGCCCCTAACTCCCTTTGGGCTGCTATTTGGGCTGCAACTTAGCTTGCTTTTGAGCACATGTAGGCTACACTCTAGGCTATTCTTTGGGCTGAAACTGGGCTGGGCGAAAATTTCCTTCTTGCTAGGCTTCTTCCCTTGAGTTTTCCAAAGATTTAGCTTGCACTACTTGGGCCGAATGAAAACTCCCTTGCTCTCAAGGCTGCGTTGGGCTGAACTTGATAAAATTTGGGCTTTCTTTTCTTTCTTTTGCCTTCTTTTTCTCGAGTTGGCTGCCCCTGAAATCTTTATTACAATTAAGCTAAAAATAGGGCAAAATTTAATTAAGCCGGTACAAAATTTCATGCAAAAACCTCATAAAATATAGATAAATTGTAGGTTCATCAAATACCCCCACACTTAAGCTTTTGCTTGTCCTCAAGCAAAGACATCAGCYATAAACTGAACATTCCCCCCTTYTGTTCTCATTATTTACCTGGTGAACTTTTTAAGGTAGAAATGCATTGAGTAGTCGGGGAACTGTTGTAAGTGCTCAACTCTTATTCTTGTAAATTACCATTTAACATATATAAGATCCAAGGAAAGGAGAATACGAATTTCATCAAAGTCCAGCCTTYACTCCCAATCAATATATAATTCAGCTCCTTAATTGTCAAAGTTAATARTCAAATTACACTAATTTTTACATCTGTAACTTTATCTTAATGAGAGTTCAACTTAGTATGCCCACTTGGACCTCAACTGTCACCATCATTACTTATTTCTAGGGGTGAGTGCATTTTATGCTCCATCTCACACTGGTCACATGCTTGAGGTAGATAAAAAGACTCGTATTCTGAGTTGCTAGTTWTACTATTCAACTCAAAATAGCGGAGTCATTTTGGGTTGAATCTCATGTATCAGTAATTCAGATGTGCACTAGCTTCCTTGACCATTAACAATGAAATCAAGTGCTTTCATACACATGAAGGTAGTTAGGGCTAGTCATGCTGAAAGATATATTCAGCTCCCCTTTTCTCACGCATATATCAAACTGGGTTATTCACAAGAATAAAAACTTAACAAGYACATCAGTCTCCCTCAACTCATTGTATTCCTTCTTAAAAATCACCTAATAAATAGCAATGAACTTGGGGGATTCCAGTTTACTTGGATATGTCATTGCCTGCAAATGTGTGTTGGGGCGAATGAGGTGCATGGCTTCAGCCCCCAATTTCTAGTTCTCAGGCTCACTCCCCCATACTTAAGATGAACATTGTCCTCAATGTTCGTAGTGTTAGGGAATCAAACTTTCTAGATCAAACTGAAGAAAAAAAAAGGATGAACAATGTCCTTAAAGAATTGGAATTTTGAGAAGATCTTTATTTTGCTAACTAATATTCTAAAAGGGTAAATGACAAAGAAATGCCTTAACCTGTTCTGGATCAAGCAAAGAAGATTATTGGTTATCAAGATAAACAGTGGATGGAGGGGGTACAGTACCGCCCATTAAATATGGTTTTAGGCGCTGACCATTTACTTTAAACGTGCCCTGAACCGGGTGGGTGAGTTCTAAAGCCCTATGGGGAAAAACCTGTGAAATGGTAAAGGGTCCAGACCACTTGGATCTCAGCTTACCTGGAAACAAGCGGAGACGGGAATTATATAACAATACCTGTTGGCCTACATAAAAGTCCCATCTCATCAAGTTCTTATCATGCCAGTTTTTGGTTCTTTCTTTATAAACTTTGGCATTCTCATAGGCAGTAAGTCTGAATTCATCCAATTCATTCAATTGCAACTGCCTTTTAGCCCCTGTGGCCTGAATGTCAAAATTTAAGAATTTAAGAGCCCAATAGGCCTTGTGTTCTAATTCAACTGGTAAATGGCATGCTTTACCAAAG